CCGCACGGAGCGATCGCTCCTGTCCGAAAAAAATGCGAGGCTGATCACAGCCGAATCCACAGCCGGGCCTTGTAAGGTTGTTTACGGTTCAAAGCTCTCGAGGCTTGCAGAGGTCCAGGATGGTCCAGGTGGGTGTCTTGACCAAAAACGCCCATCGTCCCTGTGCTGGAACAGGCTGGCGCTAAGAAGAGATGTACGGGTTAGAGCTAAAGTAAGTGGGAAATGTGGCAAAGTACCATGGAACTATGTCACCTTGCGGTATTTTTCGAGGGATCCAGGCGTCCGGATTAGTTGGACTCCAAGCCCGCCGACCCGGGCTCCATTAGATCTGGCTGCTGGATTTGGAGCTTGAAGGTTTTGGGGTTTCGGCTTGAGGGTCCAGGCAGGCTGCAAGAAGCCATCATCGTCGATTGGCTACGCACGAGGCATGCATGGTACGCCGGGCCGCCCATGTGCTTCAGGCGTTGCTGCACGTAGACTGGAATCCGGGCCCTGTCTGTTTCTTCGATTTCCCGCCATGGCACTCACCCACGGCGCGCTTTCCGAGGAGGAGGCCAGTTTGGGTCCTGACATGGAGGATGCGCTGTAAGTCAAGTTGCCCAGCGCCATGCCGTGAGATCCCCAAACCTGCAAGCTCTGAAGCGGGCCTAACATGTTTCAACTAGCGACTATTGTGTGCTTTAGCCCTGCTCTAGAGCAGTCCCCTAGTCCTCAAGCACTGCTTGCTTTCTGCAGAACCCCAGCAAAGACTCTGCCAAGCGTATCAGATCTCTGGAAATCCTGCATCAGGTGGTCCTCATGGAGAAGCCCCGGGCACCCAAGGGACGCTGGTACCTCGCAGGCGCCAACACACACGTCCGACTCGCTGGGCATGAACGCACCCTTTAAACGCGACGAACCCCAAGCCGGATCGCCCTAACTTCGCCTAAGCCCCATTGATTCGCGAAGTCTTTCTCACATTCAAAACTTGAAAGCCGCAGCTTGGAAGGTGCCGCCGTTGCGACCTTGGCGCTTGTTGGCGTCGTGGCCAAGGCACCGTTCTGGATGATGTCGGGTTTGGGTTCAGCCTTGGGGTGAGGGACACGGTCGGCTTTGCAGGATCTTGCGTCCCGTGGGAAAGGCAGTCACAAATTTCAATTGAGTCTCGTCTCGTGGTAAGCACTCTGCATCTTACATCCGTCAAGTTCAGAAAGACTATGCCCGAACATGTGGCAACATGCACCTCATCTTGTTTACTCCTTGCGGTTCGTTGGCGGCCGCCGATTGCAATCTGCCGTGAACGGTCTTCTTCCGCCTGACCGGTTTAGGCGTTTGTTTGTTTTGTAGTTTCCACAACGACGGCGATGAGGTGTCTCACTCCTCGCTCTCCAAGTCCAAGACGCTGGATGAGATCGAGAACTGGGAGGAGCTTCCAGGAATGGACCAGGTGGGGGCGGGGGCGTCTCAGAGCCTCGAGTTGCAAGCTCCTCAAACGGGGTCCTTCAATACAAGAGCCCTGGTCCAGTGACCCTGGCGGCTCCATGAATCACAAGCGCAGTCCTCCGGAAAGAATGCAAAGCATCGAGACAGGTCATCCACAAGGCCCAGGCCCTGAAGATGGACAAGCCTTTGCGCAACCTGCAAGACCTGCGACTCGGCTCGGCGTTTCGGGTGTCGGGCTTGAGTTTTTAGCCCTGGAGCATTTAGAAATGTAGCGAGGGCCTGCCATTTGGGTCGCCTTGAGGCGTTTGCGATCTGTCGGGTCCTCGAAGGGGAACCAAGAACTTACCCGGCCTGGAAGAATTTTCCGAAACCGACGCCTCTTGGGTCGCCGCCCGCACTGCGCGCCTGCTCGAGCCGAGGTTCTACGACTCGCAGCCGGAGGATGCTTGGCTTGGGTTTCAATCGCGGGCATGGTGCATAGGAGCAGCAACCCTGGCCTTTGAGCTGGCGTGGGGTCTCATCGTCGCCACCACCCCAAAGGCTGATTGCCAGAGCACCCTTCTCAGAGACTCAGGAACTGCCCTGGATCCGGACCGAGTGCGTGATCGACACCGTTCAGGAGTCTCGTCAACCGTGAATTGTCCTTCGGACAGATGGCATTGATCAGCTTTCCAATTAGGGGGGGGAATTGGGACGGTTAGAGGTTAGAGCAAAAACTCAGGTAAAGGGTTGTCCAGGATTGGAGGTCATGCAGTGTCAAGGGTCGAGCGAACCCCAAGGAAGAGCCGTCCAGTGCACGCCAAGCTGCGACCTTTGCAGGCTGCGGCGTACCTGGCTCAAGCCGTCGTCTTCCTGTACAAGGCAGGAAGAAGGGTTACGGGACCGTGGCGCAGGCCAAAGTTGGGAGTTTCCGGAGCTCTGTGCCCCAACGAGCTGAGTCTGACTTATTGTCTGGATGTTGAGACAGGGCAGTTCTGTGCCCTAAGCACGAATCACTAATTAATCCATCTCTGTCTATGTGTGCGCGCACTTCTGGTACATCTCTCTTTGACCTTGCAAGTCCTGACAGTGCTCGGTGGTCTGAGGGTCCGGCGAACAGGGCCCTCGCACCCAATCACCCGAAGCAGAAAGGCAGAATAGAGAATCAAGAGATGTCCTGGCCCCAAGAGAGTTCTTGAA